TATTCTCAGGAAACATTCTTATAGCAAGAAGTGAATCCTGCAGCAGCTATGAAGAGGTTTGTCCGAGGACTTAATGAAGAGGCATCTGAATGCAAGCTCTGAAGATGGTGTGTTAGCAAATTAAGTACATGGAATTCCTAGAGGCATAAAAAAGATAGAACCGAGTAATAGAAGGAAAATGCTCTACATCTGTACATGCCAAAACTAACACAAAGCTTCTATACCCTTCTGTTGACATGTTTTAAAAATTCAATCACAAATATAAGAAAGTTCAGTGAAAAAAGCCCCACAACACTATTGTTGGAAACCAAAAAATTATTGTAGGATGTTGCAGTAAGCTTGTTTGGTTTATCCTGTAATAGAAGATGCTGGGAAACTTGATTAGCCTATGTAAGGAAAATCACAGGGACAAAAGACTAACAACAGTCACTCAGGATGAAAAGTGAAGAACCAAATGCCATTCAAGTCCCAAAAGACACGTGTAGGAACTAGAGTGGGCTACCATTAGAAGAAAGATATATAGATCTAATCAGCTGGTTTTAGGTCATTAGCTATCAGTCTTAATTTTTTTTTTTTTAACTACTCAAATATTCGTAATCAAGAATGGGATTCCAAGCACATAAAAATTCCTGATTTGATAACAATTTGGCACTGAGCTTTGGGTCAGAAACTTCTGACCTTGTTTGATTCTGGTTTCCAGTAAGGAGGTAAAGAGGAAAAACAAAGGGATGGAAAACAAGAGGTAGAGGAGGTAAGGAACTACAGTTATTGCAAATGCATCCAGAGCAAGAAAAACTACATGACAGTTGAGAGACAAAGTTTCTTAAATAAGGTGCATGAGGAAAGAGAGCTCAGAAAGGAAACATCAGAATTTCCAGGGGAAGGAGAAGAACTTTACCATCCCATGGTCACTGAAGCCAAGGCTGTCTTTGATCTTCACATCTCAGCAAGACCCTCGCCTGTTGGCGAGTATGAGGTACAGCACTGCACCTCTCCTTGGCTTCCCTATCATCTGGAGGAGGAAGTTCTCAACAATGCAGTCCAGGAACCTTCTGGATTGCTTACAGCCTGCAGTGTTGTCCCACATATTACTTCTCCAGCAACTTCGTTGATCCAATACAAAAACATAGAGTGATGAAACTTAAATTTGAAGAATGAGACTGTGATGAGAACTTGTGTGTCTAAAATGAGAGCTTCAGTTCCCCAAAACCTGAGAAATCTTTTACTATGTATTTTCTTTTATTTCATTTATCATTCACATAGTTGAGAGAAGGTATCAAATCTCACATAACACTCAAGTATAATATTCAGTATGCTTTTCGAGAAAAAATACCCGTAAGCAGCAAGGAAGTCATCAAAATCTCTGAATAATTATGACAAAATAATTCAGTGTCCTTTAAAAGCAGTCATTTTTTTTCTTTCAAGCTAATAAGCTTAGTAGATATTACAGAAGTGTGGAAAGTTTGATTAAAAAGTTTAAGCATTTCAGTTTTACATCTGCATTATGCTCTAGACTAAAACTTTAAACATCAAAGCTATAAATTGGATTCAAAGAAGTTGTTTGATGTTATACCTACAGCATGTAACAGAGCTCAAAGCAATTTTCCCACCAAAATGTTTAGCAAAGTCAATTTAAATCACTTGCAAAAACATTCTCTAAAATTTGAAAAGTGCAAACATGCACGAATACGCCGTTCATTCTGCTGTGAGTAAAACTGTCAGCAATTCCAAGATACATGCTCTTCCAGGTTTTAGAAAACCCCTCCTTCCAAAAAATGCCATAAGTTAAAATGAATATGTTAAAGTCTTACTGTAGGTGATGTGACTCGTGTTCATCTGGGGGAAAATACTACCATAATTAAAGTATTTTGAGGTACAAATTAGGACAGACCTGCTAATGCATCAGGGTATTCCTGTTTTGAGAATACAGATCTCAAAACATTCATTCCTGGCACTGCTGTAGGCCCAACTACCTAGTTGAACACTAATTGTTAAAAAGACACTCCTGCCCACCCCTTCCCCCTCACCCCCCCCATAAAAAAATCCATTGTCTGTTTTTCTATGATCCACCATTTAAGCAAAACAACCCTCACACACTTCAACAAAATGAGAGAAATGTGTTTTCTCTAAAACAGGATAACAAGCTGTGCAAAATGTAAGAGGCACTATATTATAGATCATGACCTGCACGGGAATCATGACAGTGTCTCATAAAGAGTCTCAAATAAACGCTAGGGAAGTATGATCCAGACCAAAGTATAGGTACACACCATCTCTAGAGTCACTATTAATGCTGTGTTTAAAAGGCTGAAGTAGTGTTCTATGGAATCTATCACAGTTCGGTCCTAGAAGAGCTACAAGAAATGACTGTTCCAGGTCAGACCAAAAATCCAACTACTTCAGTACACTGTCACCCACAGTGACCAAAAGGGACAGCACAGAAACTGGGAAAATGGAAACCCCAGTTACTACAGCTCGCTGTCTGATCCAGCGGCTATTAATCTGCAATGGATTTCTCTTTGAATTACTTGTCCAATGACGTTCTGAATCCCTCCACCACAAATTAGGAAAAAAGTCAATATTTCTTATGTTTTAAACCACTATACAAATCGGGTAATTGATTTCAGCAATTACTGCGGTGGCGTAATTGACATAAGGATATTTTAAATAGATTTTTTTTTTTTTTTAAGAACTGAACAATTATTCTTACATCCTGTGTGCAGGAATATTGATTGATTATGATGTTTCTACAGGTATCAATGAAAAATATGTTCTGGAACTACTTTCTAAAGGGCTGAAGAGGAGCTTAATGTTTCATACAGAATCATCAAAGTCAGAAGGACATTCTCCTGGGATGGACCGAATATCCTGGGTTTAGTTCCTGCTCCACAGATATTTATGAATTTGTATCGAAATGCAGAAAATAAAACACTAAGCAGGGAACAGAATCAATGAAATGTAAGCAATTTTTTTTTTTTTTTGCAAAATATCTTTAACACATTATTAGGAGTGAGATTTTTACACTTAAAATGTCTGTCATAGTATTTTCACTAAACTCCAGTGAAATACTTCTGAAATTAGAAAATTTGTCATCCTTTTTTAGTCACCAAATAGAAGTTCCAGTAATTTCATAATTAGTTATAGATGTATACTGCAGACTTCATAGAGCTATGCTTGCAGGCTCAGATACTGCAGTATAACGTATCTGGCTAATTTTTAAAACTAACTCACTTATTATTTGTTTCCATATCAGAAACCTAAAACACTTGTACAAAACTTCTCCAGATTCTTTTTCCCTGAGCTCTTTGGGTGGCTTGCAATTCAAAATATTTTTGTCTAGAATTGCTTTCTGCTGCGTAACTCTAAATATTTCTACAAGTACTTCTGTTTTCTGTTTAACTGTGGGGTTTTTTTTAGTTTATTTTTATACAGTAAATTTTCCCTCTCTTCAACTATTTTCTTGTAAAGGTTCACAGTGGACTCCAATGCTGCCTTTCTTATCAACTTAGAATAAATAAGGCCTTCAGAAAGGTGGTGAGATAGTTAATTTCAAGACTAATGTTTTATTTTTCTTCCCAACTGTTTAACTTAAGGAAGAGTTACATCAGTATCTTTGGTTCCAGATGAATTAAACTCCAACTTGGTAGGAAAAACAAACCTTGAAATCCTAGAAGATTAGAGCACCCTAGAGAGTTATTTTTTAAATGAGTGTTGAAGGAAGATAGTGCTATATTACAATAAATGCGCTAAGGGTAGGATTCAGTATCCAAGATGTAATTGCCTCAGATTTTGTGTTCCTTAAGTTACCTGCACAGGCTTGACAGACACAAAAGGAAGGGATCTATGGGAGATTTGTGTCCAAATGAAGCAGAAACAGGATGCTAAGCTGAGTAATGTAGGGCAGGTAAAATGGCTCTAGACTTCTATTTGGGATACTGAAGCCTACCTTACAAGTTTCACAAAACTTTGCATTAAAAAAATAATGAGTCTTGCAATCTAATATCAAGACAATGACCATTACTGTCACTGCTAAAAGCTGAGATGCTTTAAAGACACCTAAGGAAAAACAAAGCAATCAAATCCATTTAAGAAGGAAAATACAATACCAACCAGGTTAGAGCTTTAGTGCCCTTGAGGTAGCCTAAGCTTTACAAAGCCCTGCTCTCCATAAAACCAATCCTTCCAAGTTTAGCTTCTTCTAAGGAATTATTACTTATGTTGTTCTTTATACAGTAACTTTACACTTTCTGTATGGGATTACAGCAGACATTAATTTTATTCTGTTCTTAGAGGAGCTGGAATCAGATGATTCAGAAAGCCTTAACAAGGTCTGTGTAGCCTTACCAAAAAGAGATCTTGAAAGCTTTAAACATTAAAGGCTTTAAACATTTAGCATGCTACAAATAGAGCCATAACAATATCAACTGTGTTTATTTTTAATTTGTTATAGATTATTTGTATTGACATACTTTTCCTGTCTGACAAAAAAAAAGGCATTCTATCCACTCCTTACCATAATTTATTTAACCTAATTCCATCCTTTTTATTCATCTCTAAATTCCACATTTCATTTTTCTTGTAAATGCACATCTCCACACTCAGACCAATCTTATTGATTGCCTAACACTGAATCCATCTTTTGTACAAAATTTATGAACCTGCCCCCTATATTCATCCTTTTCTCTTTCTGCTATTTCATATCCTGGTATTTAGAAAGAATCACTAAAGCACGTGGAAAAAAGTAGGCCCAATCATGCTAAAGTAAAAATTACATTGTATTTTTCTAGCCTTGCTGAAAGGTTTACCTAGATTCAAGACACTACACAACTGAAAAAAAAAAATTAATCATAGTTCTTCATATTTAGTACTGAATAGCTATAAAATAAATTGTAAGCTGCCTAAGTATTTTAATTGTATTGTCTAAGCATTTCTCCTTTTACACTGAAATCTGTCTGTTCCTGAACAAAATAATGTTCTTTTGAAGATGTTTTTGCTCTTACCTGACGTAAAGTACGTGCTACTATACTTTCAAGCACTGGTCCTCTGTCTTCATGCAGAAGATGAACTTCATCGAGAATCAAGAGTTTTACCAGCTGAGAGAGGGCTACATCCCCAACACTTTTTCTTGTCACTACATCCCATTTCTCTGGAGTAGTCACAAGCATCTAGAAGAGCAGAAAAAAAAATATTAACCATATACAAAGAAAAATCCAGATTTAAATTAATAAAGAAACTGTAATATACAGCAGAGAGAATGCAATGTAGAACTTAACAAAGCTATCTTAAATTTTACCTACTTTATACATGTGAGGCAGACAGAGTTTGCTCTATCTACATGTGTTGGATGGCTGTTAGCAGGACCGAGGATGGAAAACTGAATGGAAATATCAACTAATAACTTCAAGCTAATGTGCAGCATTTGTATACATTTTCCACATTAAAACAATTAAGCAGCTATCCAGAATCAACTCCTTACATAATCACGCAATCATTTAATGCATGTTTCTGAGTAAAAATTATCTGTGATAAAATATTTCTAACCTTCGGCACAGCACAGTAAACACCTAAGACCCCCCCATACCTAAGCTTGAGCTCAAAGTTCCCAGTTCCCTATGAAATGCTGTACATTTTGCTGACATGCAAGTTGCACATTTTGATATCTTGATCCTTACACTGGCAAAACACAGCTTCCACCAATGCTGGAAAAGGTAACGTCCACACTTTATTGTTTCAAGTAGATATGTACATGGTAAATCTTTATTATGGTGCCATTTCTTGTTATGTTTTTGCAATGGTTTCTCTTTTTGAATAAATCCTATCAAACAGACTATCAAAGACATACAACTGAGGTGCATTCAATCTTCAGTTGCCAAGCAATGGTAGTATCCTCATTCTCCACAATGACAATGTACTCATCAGTCACCTCATGTGACCTTAACACAAGAATTCAAGAAAGTACCACTTTTAAATTTAAAATGATAGATGAAGTTGTCACTCTAAAGAAAGCATCTCACTCCTTCCCAAATAAACTTCTCAGTGGCTGTTTCAAACAGAAATAGAAATGTAGATTTGTCATATACTATTCAACAAAAATAATTTCTTATTGAAGTTCCATGAAGCCCCCACTAGAACTGAATTTCATCCACTGAAATTCAATAGTAACTTGCCTACAAGTTATAACTATTATTTAAGGTTAATTATTTATTGCCTATTCGTAACAGATCTAATTAATCTCTAGCTATCAAAGCTTGAGGTTTCTTGGACAGGAACAAAGCTTACCACACAGTCTCATCTATTTCACAAAAAAAAGAACTTAGAACTATTAAAGTAAATGTTACTTTGTAGATGAAAATAATTCAGAAAATTATAAAGCAAATTTCAGATTCTGTTGTTTCTTGGCCCCACTATAAAAGTCTGTTAATTGGGCAAATCTTGTTCAGGTGATATCTAGAGTAAAATTAATGCTTTCATGAGGAAAAGAAGACAGGGATTGTTTGATTATCTTGACTGACATGAAACTTTTAAAAAATTCAAATACCAATTGCTGAAAAATATTAAGAATTGGCAAAATGGGGAAACTTCTAACAGCTCTGATAAACAGGCATCGAATGAAAAAATGCTCAGTGATCATGAACATGTCAGTGGTTCATGGTTGTAATAAGCTTATCAACTTGCCAAGGACCTAAAGAAAAAGAACAGGACACTTGTTTTCTAATTCTACTGATATTGGCCAAATTCCAGTCAACAATCTTGAATTATCCTATCCTATAAGAAGACAGATGTAACAAGATGTTAGATAGATCAGCAAAGAAGGTTTATAATAGAGCTTTTAAAATAGGAATTCTAAATTGCAAGAACTCCCTACTTCTATCAGTATAACTTTATTTGTCAAAGTTTTTTTTTTAACTAAATAGCCAACTATTCCCCCAAAACATGTGGAGCAGTTTCTTCAGACAGATTTTGATTCCAGGGTTATTTTAATACAAATCTTAGTATCAAGGTCTTTCAGTCTTAAAACAATATTATATCCATACTTTTAATCTTAATAAATGTTTTTCTTTAATTCTACTTAAAGAAAAAAGAACAGTAGTAAATAAATATTAATATTTAGTATTTGATGAAACCATGCTTCACATTACAAAGAAGAATTGAGTCTACAATCTGAAAGGAAAACATCCATCTGATCCCTATCACTTCTTTCGTAATAAACATGTTTTATGATTGGGTTTTCTCTTAACTTTAGATGTCCAGAAATAAATAAAATGACACATAATTAATCTTTCTAGATGATAACGCTTCTGCAGTGATATAATACTATTAAGTCCCTACAAAAGCTTACACACATAACTGTTTTCCTCTAGTCACCATTTGCTACATTCTAAGGAGCCATGTTAGAAAACTAAAAAAACTAAAAACTTGTTTATCCCTGGAGGCCTCCTGGCACTTTTTGCCCAACTTCCTATTTGTTGGGATGGACTGTTCTCGAGCTTGGAGGTGATCCTTGACTATTAACTGGCTCGTGTGGGCTCCTCTTTCCTACAGGGCCTCATCACATGCGACTCTTCCAAACAGATCTCTGCAGAGGCTAAATTCTGTTCTCCTGAAGTCCAGGGCTGTGAGCTTCGTTTTTGCCCTGTTTCTTCCACACAGGATCCTGAACTCAAGCATTTCATGGTGACTGAAGCCAAGGCTGCCTTTGATCTTCACATCCCCAGTAAGCCCTCTCCTCCTTGGCTTCCCTATCACCTGAAGGAGGAAGTTCTCATCAATGTACTCAGGAACCTCCTGATTGCTTACAGCCTGCAGTGTTTCTTTCAAAATATTATGAAAAAACATATTTTGCAAAATATATAAATTTTTTCTTCACTTGATTTCCACAGGAGAGATTCTGATAATATTTATTTTCCTCAGAGAAATATTTTCCCCTGTACTTCCTCACAATATTGTTCCAGTCCAATTGTTTTACCATCAGAATATATCAGTATTTACTCATTACCAAGAATTACTCCTGAAAAGACTTTGTGATACTACAGAAAAAGTTGTTCCTGTCCAGCAATATTTAAAACTTAACACATGAAAGGCTCACTGAGTCACTATAATATCACTGAGAGAGTGGTAGTGTGTGTGGGGTGTTTCTATGTTTTCTTAAAATACTACTGGGTGCATTTTGTTAGCAAATACAAGATTTTTCAAATGCTTGTACTCCTCCAAAATAGTAGGTGTAAAAATGTATGACCATAATCTATAAACTGAATTGTAACACTACTACAGATGCAACTGTTATCACTTTAAAATGAGCCATGTCAACCACAAAAAAATTAGCAGCTGTACTTCCACAGAACATTAATTAGCAAACAGTGAGGAAATATATTTAGCAATGCATATTAAGACTTTAAGGTGTGAAATACTACAAATGCAGCTACTTAGCTAATTTGCTAAATCTAAATTGGCAATGTTCAGATCACAGGTTTGTTTTTTTGTTTTTTTTTTACATGTCAGCCATGTTATCGGGATATATATTTAAACTGGTGTCATTAATTCTTCTGTTTTTGAGTGATGACTAAATATTCATTATCATGGTCTTTTACTTTGATCTTATTTTGAAACAGCAATGTTACTCAAAGTAATGGCCTGGATTAAAAGCTATACTTGATATACTGTCTCATTTAGTAGGACCAGAGATCTCCAGAGAATGATTTGCCAGAAAATATGACTGGTTCTTATATTTATTTTGCAGATACATGTTACAGTTAAGAAAAAAAAATCTCTCCAAAAAACCCTAAATAAATCCGCTTTGTAGTCTCAAATCATAAATGAAATTCAAATATATAAAGTGTTAATTAAAAATATCAGCTACAAGAAAATGTTGACTATCAGCAAATGTTAACAAAGCTACAGATTATTTTTTCAATTAAAATAAACAAAGCAGCATTATGATCCATCTTATAATTAGTTTTAAATGCGGCAGTGGCATTTCTTTTTATAATTAATTTTCAGAGACAACGTATTTTATCCACAAAGTTATAAACTCAAAACTCAGATTCAGCAAAAGGATTCTGCTTTCTGTTTGGGGGCAAGGGAAGGACACAGTAACCAAGTCTTGAAACATCTTTTTAATATTTTCTTTTTTTTTTTACTTTGACTTGAGTTATTAGCACACTGAGAAGCGTGTTCATTCATTGTGCTATTTCACCACTTCACCTCTTTCAGTATTGAAATAGCTAGAAAATAAAGTGTCACATTTGCTTAATGAACTGCAACTCATGCAAGGTATTTCAATCTGGTTTTTGTATTAGGGTATGGATGAATAGAAATGGGTTAACTGTCAATATTTTTACTGTCAACTTAAATTTCTCTCTGCACAAAGAATTCTCATTTTCAAATGCCTTTTGGATTATCATTAGTAACTACTGCACACCAACATTTTTTACTAGGAAAAACATGGGATTATCACAAAGTCTTCTGTCTTAAATGAGGGGCTACCACTCAATTTCACTTTTATACCAAAAAACAAGAAAGGTCAAAAACCCCCAAAATAATCTTTCAAACCAAAATGATTTCATTTAGCTTTGGGGTTATTTAACATATCCCCACATTACTTTACATGATATCCTGGTAAGAAGTGAAACACAAAAGTCTAACTACTTCACTTTGAGAAATGAATCCAAAAGGGATGACACTGATAACTGATAATTTCAACGTCAAGTGACAACTTTAGAGTGACTGTGAAAACACATTTTTCTGTAACTGCATGATAGGCTACCTGTTTTTGTCAATTTCTCTACAGTGCCATTAGAATCCAGACTTCGTGGTAAGAGGAAGTTACATTTTCACCATAGTTTCAGAAGATCAACATGTTGAAAAATGCTGGGTTATATTGTTTGTGGTTTTTCTTAACCCAAAAAGGCTTATGGTCTCACTGCAATGAAATGATCTTCTATTTATTTCTTAGAGTCCAACATTAATTTCTAGCAGTTGCCAGAGTCTGCAGGTTTACTTCTGCAACAGCTCGGTTGCAAACCTTGAATTTTTTTTCTGCTTTAAGTTCTCCCAAACACATCTTGCCCATGACTAATATCTGATTTCTGCTTGAATAATTTGTGCACACACTCTGAGACTACTAAAACTATGGTAATCTCCTCTAATTCACGCTCCCACAGGCCCA